TAATTTTATTTAATATTTTATATATTTTTATCAATTTTAATTAATAATTTATTTTTAAAAATAATAAAAGAAAAAATCAATGTTATAGTGCAATTCAACACAACACTCTCAAATAAATCCTTAATTAAATTACAATAATAAGTTAAATTTGATAAACTTCCTTCATTAAGGGTAACTAAATCTAAAGTGTTAGAAATTTTCTACTAAACTAATAAATGAATGAAAAAAATTATTGGTTTCATTTTTTAAGGGATTTTTTATTTTCATTTTTTAAGAAATTTGTATTTTTTTTTAATTCTATACTAATGTAAAAAGAAAATTTGCATCAAAGTCTAACTACTTCTAAGAAATTATCAATATCAACTTATTTTTATAATTTGATCAAAATATAAACACTAACACTAATCAAACAAGCAGTAAATTCTTTAAATTCTCTGCTCTGATCTTGGTTTTTTGATTGCTCAGGCTTATTCGTTGCTTTGCACTTTTCATTCCCATCTCCCCAAGGGCAAAATCAATTGAATTTAACCACTGAAAATAAATTCAAAGTTATCCAGCCACAAAAATTCTCCCTTTCTACTTGATGTTCCAATGCCACTTAACTAAATCCTTGATTATCCTCTTCGAATCTACTTATTCCCTGAAAAGTTATGGCACCCACCAGCCCATCTTCTTTTGCAAATAGTCATTCATCCAATTATTAACACGCATTTTGTCATTTAAAGAACAAACAAAAAATCCAACAGTTTGAAAAGTCTCAGTGGTCCAACTGAATATCATATATGATATTTCATATAATAATAAATGTAGGGTTCAAATTTTATCTTAATATTCAAAAAAAAATCTAACAATTTAAATTAATTTAATATTAATAATAACTAGCAATGTCTAATCAAAGCAAACGCAAGGTTAAGGAATCAATAGATAAATAATGAGAAAAGACTAAAGAGAAGGATAAGGTGAAACCGACCTGTCCTCCTTCGTCCATACTTGATTTATAGTCAATATTTTGTACAGCTAACAGTTGATGGGAACCAAAGAGAAAAATAAAAATCAGAACTCGAACATCCAGAGGTCCCACTTTTTTTGAGTTGTTCATTCACACTCACGTGGTAGAATAATACAAGAGTGAAATCGACTGATAATCTTACATTGGAAAAGAACGCATTTCTGAAAATGGCTGCTCAGCTTATATGAATGGTCCAAAGTGGGGAACGCCAAAATTGACAAACTCACCTCTAAATATATGAATCGGGGATTTTTGAGTCCAATAATTTATTTTTAAATTTTTAATATTTAAATTTAATTAATTAAAAATTTAATTTTTAAGAACGATTTAAGAAAACATGAAATTAAATTTTTTTCCAAGCATCGCCAGGAATTGGAATGATCGGTCAACATGGTAGAAGTATGAATTGATAGAGATCAATTAATGACAGTGAATCAGAGAAGCAAATTCCATAATTGTAAATGACAAATACCAGTCATTTCACTCTTTCATGAATATATAATTAAGGTAAATTTATTTTTCACTCCATCTGTTTGTTATTATCATCTTATTAATAATTAATTTATTGAGATTGATGATATCTCTAATTAATCTTAATTTCTTAATACTTTATCTAACTTGTAGCAAATGCATCTTATGATATTTTAAAGAGGGAAAAAGAAAACTCGACGATTTTTTACTTCTTTTGAATGGGGGTGTAATTTATACGTATAATTAATTAATCAATAAATCAAAACTTTAAATAAGTCAATAACTCTATCAAATTAATCCATATCTCTCCAAAGTCAAAATAAATTAAATTTAACCTTGAAAGTAAATTCAAAATTATCCGACCTTTAAAATTCTTTCTGTTTTCTTGATAAAATAACACTGAAGTCCTATTTGATTGAACTTTTTCATTAAAAAAAATTTGGTGAAGCCGATAAAAAATTATTCCGCTTGACATGGCGTGATTTTTAATAAATCCTTGAAGTAATTAAGTCAATGTTTTGTTAAAGAATTTCAATAAAGAATTTTTTAAAAATTTTAATGTAACTATTTATATTTTTATTATAATTAACTATATTTCATCTCAATTTTTGTATTAAAAATTTTAATTACCTAAGTCAAGCTACGAAGATGATTTTTAATCAACCTTTTAAAATTCTCTCCCTCAATAAAAATTTCAACCAATCATTTTTTTTTTGTCCAAACTTAATTTTTTTTACTTAAAACATGATACAATTTTAAAAATAAGAGAATACGAAACTCAATTTGTAAGTTGAGAATATATTTATATCACAATTTATAACTTTCGGATTAACTTAAAAGTGCCATGTCGCATTTGTGACTTTGGTTTAAAGTATCTTCACAGCAAATAGTTGACGGTTACCGAAGAGCAAAAAGTAAAAGCTGAGCTGCCGCCGCTGTCCCTGTCGTAGGTCCCATCCTTTGCAGATAGCGTACCAATTTGTTTCCACAAAATTCCTACATTCAGAATCGAATTTCCATTCTGATGCAATTCATTTCTTTCCATCCTGGCTCACTCAGAATTTGGAGTTATTAGTTGAATGACAAAGGCATGCTATAACAGAGGGCAATCAATTCATGATCACAATTGCACCGAAGAAAACTTCTTCTGAGGTGACCTCAGAGAGTTGTTGGTATAGGTTTTCTTTTTTCGATCTTTTTTGGTATGGGTTTTTAATTTTTGGTAAATGAGTTGTTTGGTACGTATGAACGGTTTAAGTGGGAACGGTGGAATTGACGGATAAATGAGGGGTCCTACCAACGAGGAGTTGAATCAAGTGGTAAGCGACTTGTTTCAGCTTAAGCAAGGTCTCGAGTTTGAATTTTTGTGTATGCAGCAGCTTCCGTTGGGAGACTCACTCACCATTTTTAGGTGCACGACGCGGGTTGGGTCTGAATTGGTCGGGGCGAAACCCCGGATATCGAGCGAGAAACCAAAAAAAAAATGAGGGGGGTCCTAAAAAAATTGAGGGTAAAAGAAGGAAGAGAAGGATAAAGTAAAGGATTTGTTTAAATTATGCTCTAAAATATAAATTAAAATTGTATTAAATATATTTTTTATTATAAATTTATATTAAAAGATAGAAATGAAGATTTAATTTATTTATTATTTAATTAAATTTATTTATTTAATATTGATATTAAAATTAATATTAATTTTTATATTTATATATTTATAATAAAAATTACTTTTAACTGTGGTTAAGGACAGTGAAAAAAATCTTAGTAAAAATTAACCTGGAATTATATGTGCAGATTTGGTTCATAATATCTGTAGGGCGTTTCTTTTTTTTTAAAAAAAGGCAATGGATCTGTAGGGCATTATTTTAAGTTTCAACAAATAGTTGATGGGCACCAAAAATAAGAGGACATGTACAAGTTGCTGACCTATTCGAATTTAAAGGCCCGTTTAGTTGGGCTTCCCCAGATTCTTTTTCTAAGAAGTGGTAAACCAAAAAGCCCATAAGAGAGGGATGCAAAAGGATCCACCCCAAGGTCCCATCACTTGCACGCGCAACTGTGCATTGTCTAACCAATGCTCATGAAGTGCTGATTTGAAGTTGTTTTCTGATGCATCCTTCCTCCTGTTCTGAGTATCGTCCGGAAATGGAATTATTGGTTGATACAGTAGAAATATGCAGAGAATGAGCGACTAATGGCACTAAATAATAAAATACCATACACTCCATTTGATTTGTTATTTTTTTATTTTTGAGGATTTGAAAGTATTTATCAAAAAAAAAAAAACCTAGTTTTGCAAATTTAAAAAAATGAAAATATTTATGAGTCTGATATAGTTTTATAAATTAAAAAAAAAAAAAAGAGCGGACATGAAGTATATATAATTACTAGTTCGTTTAAACCAGTTGACAACTGAGTAACATGTTTTGATTATTAAAAAAATATACATGTAATAGTAACAATTAAAACATGTTAAGTTTAACCGTTTGTCAAAATAGACAAATAATATATAAAAGATACTCTGATGTAACAGATTACACAGCAATGGTATAAACAGAAATGCATATATCATGCCTATCGTTTACATTGAGGGAAATATGATGATAGAAATAGCTGGCCAAGGTGGTGCTCCTGCTAGATTCTTTCATGTAGTAGTCCTCAAGGTCCCATTCCTTGTGTGCAAGTTAAATCTCTCTAGAAAATTTGATAATTCCTTTCTCCTTACTCTTCCTCTCTAAATTTTTGCCCTCTAGTCTGCATCCAATTCCCTCCACACCAAAAACGAATAACTGGACAACTTCCTTTACAAGCCCTCTCTTCATTTGCATATACCAAATCCCCACATTTCTACTTATTGATGAGAATGTTTTCTTTTGAAGTCTACTTGAATGGCATTGAAGAGAACTAATTCTCAGGGAGCTCAGGGAACCACAGAGAGATCCTTCTCAGCTCATGAGCTGAACATATTAGGCAGTAGTAACAGCAAGGAATTAACTAACAAAGGTTTTCAATCTTGTAGCTAGTGTTGTAATTGTGAAGAGGAAATGGAAACTGATAGAATAAGCATAAAGAATCATGACTGTTAAGCTTATTTCAATAGTTATATAATAAAAGGTTTGAGTGTTGCGATTCCGTGCAAGAATAAGATTGTATGGTATACGAATGCAAAGTTTCTTTTCCTAATAATCAAATTCCTTAAAGTTTAATGCATGTTCATAGTACATAAAACCTAATTTAGGTCAATAAGCAGTAGTCAACCTAGGAACATTAAACTCTGAAACTTAATCTTCAAACGCAATCATAAATAACAGCACCAAGGATTAAATTTGATATGGGAAATGACAGGGTTCAATCTTCAACCACCAGTGTCATGGATTAAATATGAAAGGAAGAGAAACCAGATCTCCTTATAGATTTTGAACGGACAATAGAATGGTTTTGCAATCATAAGCAGAAGACCATTCGTCCTGTTACAACATTAAGATGAGTTTTAATTAATAAACATTTATATAAAAATTCCACTACCAATGATCCCTTGGTTCAGTAGTAAAGCTATACTATGAAAAATAAAAATATGTTATAATTCCAATATCCACCAAGGCAATAGGTTCAAACGCTTGAATATAACAGAAGCAAATAAAGGTTTCTTTTCCCAATCTTATTCTCATGCCGTTAAGAGCAAATGGTTTTAACTGAAAACCAATATATTTGCTTAATTTGATATCTGAAGAATATCAAGGCAAACATTCCCAAACTGATCAACATTCGGATGGAAGCACATGGTTTCAAACCTGACTTGAGGTGGCTTGAAAGGGTGGTCCAATGGGAATTGCAGGGAAAGTTTGTATGATAAACCCGCGTACATAGTTCCTTTCCCACCTTCAATTGTGCCAATCCACGTCAAAATGCTCTCTCCTTCAGAAAACGCTGATACTCCAGATCTCCTCCACTCATCTTCATAAGAAGACAAACAAGAATTAAGTGAAACTGTAGTTCTAATGGAACTAATAACAAAAGCTTTTCCTATATAGGTAATGTGATGTGTACAGTTACTAAGTCATCTTACGCACCTAAATGCTCTAACAAACATGGTCCCAACGCCTAACAATTAAATTCAACAATTTTTTGAAGAATGGCATAAACATATTTGGAACTTGGAAGTACTACTCTTACATTATGAGTTATAACCATAAGCTGCCCATTGGCTTGAACTCAAGATAAGTCATATTCCATTGACAAATAAATACTCATTATTGAACTACCAATCACAATACTTAGAAATGAGAGAATGAATTCTAGTCAATAATACAGAAACTTCCCCATCTTAAAGAAACAATCCACATGCCTGCCGCTGAATTTGCATTAGGATACAAATGCACCACCATTTAGTGGCATGCTGCTCGGTGACATTTACATAGGTAAAGAAATCTGTTCAGCTGATTGCATGAATGGTTGATATGCAAAACTCAGTAAAAGAAAAAGTAACATTTTTTAACAAGAGAAATTTAACAAGCAGATGCACATAAACACATTCTGAGTAAGTTTGATAATCAGTTGAGTTGATTTGAAGACATAATTAAGCACCATTAAAAAAATGATTTCTCAGGAAATTGCAGATGCAGTGGGAAAAAAGAACTATCACTTCTTTTCCATTTATCATAGCATAATCTCGGCATAGCATCTCCCTCCAAGCTTTCCCTCCTCCTCCACTCCCTCATTGCTGTGTGGAATTTGCCCTAATCCAAGAATTATAAGTTCTGGAAGTCCATGATCTAGGACAATTACAGGACTGTAGGCAAGGGGGGATTTAATATTCATACAACCAATTAATTGACTAGCAGATACCACTGGATACGTGCTTCTAACTATGAGAAGATTTGTCATGATTCCTGATAGGGGTTATTGTTTCGGTGTCATGAAATTTAGTTATGGTGATTTGTTATTGCCTGAGAACTCACACATAATGCCCAATTGTTTGATGGAAGAAGATAAGCACACAATTCATAGAGAGAAAGATAATATAAAGTAACCACCTGAGAAAAAATATATAAAAATTATAATAAACCAAGGTTGCAGAAAGTGCTAGGCGATAGTGGGCGGTTGCCCACAGCCTAGAGCCTAGAGTGCATAGGCAGTGCTTAGGCAGCCTAGGTGGTTTTTTTTTTTTTTTTTGAAATAATAATTTTTTGATATAATTCTAAGAAAATTAGAAAAAAATGTAAAACAATTTTAAAAATTATAAAATAAATAGAAAAATTATACATTTTTCTATTCATTATCTGTCTAAAGAGCAGAATTTAGGGGAATTACTTGACATTTAATTTTTTAGATATAATTTTTATAATAAACTAAACAACATCATTTCATTATGCTAAAAAATTAATAAAAGAACATTTGCTCAAGCGCTTTAGGCGCCATTAAGCACACCTAATAGTGCCTGGGCGTGCTTAATTGATCTGGGTGGTGCAAATCACATTAAATTTCTGCGGGCGGAATGGCCTAGGCCCACTTTTTACAACACTGTAATAAACAAAACAACCAGGGTTTTTTCGAAAATAAAAAGGAATAATTGTCTCCTTAGTTGGAAGTTAAAGTAATAAAGATCCACAATCGAAGAGCTCAAACCAAAAATATGCATCACTGCAAGCAATCATCATAATTACTATATCGATGCAGTGCAAATATTTCTACCTTAATTGGAAAAGCACATGCAAGAAATAAATAAATAAATAAAAAGAATCTAGGAAATTTTCTAAATTATTGTGGTTCATGAAAATGGACCTCATATAGCTCAAAATACATACATGAACTGCAGATCAAATTTAATTGAAAAAATAGGCCTCAGATGTATTGGAATCAATTAGTTGAAATACTATTAGAGTTACATAGGCTTATTTTGTTTAAGCTCACACTTTTTGCTTGATAAGACAATAAACCCACTTCTAAACTCTTGTTACTTCAGTAGCCTTAGTCCAACACCTTAATTTCTTTTTCTAGTTCTTCTGCCTTAAAAGCAAACAAATACAACCAAAGCAACAACATGAAAGAAGAAAAATGCAGAGCAAGCCAAAGTAAGATTCCAAATAATTGACAGAAGGCATATCATTCAAAATACCTTCTAAACTCATCATTTTCCTCCTCTCCAGCACTGTGGATATCATCAAACATCAAAGAATTACTTTAAAAAAGAAAAAAATTTAGCAGGTAACAACCACTTAGACCAAAAAATCCACTTGACATAGATCAGTGAATAAAAGAAAAATGAAGGCAAGCTAATAAGTTCTCATAACTCTGTATTCTACATCTATATGTATGATCAATTTAAACCTGCAAATTTATAAATGTATATCAAATTGAATTGTCAATTTGTCATATAATTTGTATGAAAACACCGAATGAAAAAATGAAAAAAAATAAAAATACCGCAATATCAATGCCAGATATTTCACCCCAAAGTCAAAAGGAATCATCAATCTCAAGAAGTTAATGGAACTTTAAAGAGGGCCAAAAACAAAAAAAAAAAAAAAAAAAAAGAACTTTAACATTACCAAAGCTACTAAAACATTGTCACTCCTTTGTACCAATTCTAAATGAATCAAAAAAGAAATCAATTGGATAAGAAAAATGAAGAAACACTAAAAAGAAGAATGTGAGACTCACCTGTGAGAGTTGACTTGAGTTCTAGCCAGTTTAGTTGCCAGATTTCCTCTCTCTATTGTTTCCTCCTTTCTGTCTTGTCATTGATTATGAACCCTAGCTAACCCAATTGATTCCCTTGCTCACTCATCCCTGTTTCCCCTGCTGTCCATTTTGAAGCCATAAGCCACCAGATGGATTCCAGTAGCAAAATGAAGCCATGCCAAGGATGATTATTCAATGACTGATTAAGGAATATGCAGTACAGCAATAAGAGAAAGAGGTATAGATGTGACATACTGGTAGTTACAAAGGATAATGTATTTGACCATATCCTCAAACAAAGTAGGGGACCTGAACACCCTCCCACAGAACCTCCTCAAGCATTCTGCTTCTTCTACTCCAACTGCTTCAACAATCTTTTAAAACTCATTCACCTTCTTCTCGTCACCATCTGACAAACACAGCATCCTTTTCACCTAACATTGTTAGAAGATAATCCTACTTAAATCAATGCAATCAAACTAACATAAAGAAGAAGAGGCAGAAAAGACTCCTTCTTGGATTGGATGGAGGGTTCAATCATTAAGGAATTGGTAATAGTAATACCACCTCTCCGCAATGAACCTCAAAACTTGAAGACTATTTGTGCAATTCCAACCGAACCTCACCTTGTGGATTGGAAGCAGGGTTCAATAATTAAGAAATCCACACCCTTAGCTTCTACAATAGTCCTGCATTCTGTTTTTCTTCCAACTTCAACCACCTCAAAACTTGAAGACTGCTGGTGCAATTCCAACTGAAGCTCACAAAGTGCCTTAGCCAAGCTCAAAGTGGACCCTCCCCTTTCCCCCTGTTTCTAAGAGGATTATTCAGTTGCAAACTCAAATGAAGAATATGTAATTGCAAACAAACTAGTTTAGAAGCAAGAACACAGGTTGAAAAAGGGTCATAACAGAAACAGTAAAGAAAGTTGAACAAAGGCAGTCAGGAAATTGGTACAACACCTGTTTGGAGAAACCTCAAACCTGACAATTTGAGCAGAGCCAGCCTCATGATCTCTGTGAAACATGATTCTAACTAAAGCTCAAGTGATGGTTGATAAAGTACTTTTCCTCCTTGCTCTGTAAAGACAAATAAATGGTTCAGTAGACAACAGCATCAAACTTCTATATGGACACAGATATTTTAAAAAGCATTATTTAAAAAAATAATAATAATAAAAAGGGAACTAAAAGAACTGATTGTACTAAATATGACAATGAATGGAGATTGTCTTTCAATTGCTTTTATCAGGCATGACTTAAAAAGTTTACATTTTCATAGCCTGTACTTTGTTAGAATAGTTATACAGAATTGTTCCTTCCAAACCTTGATTTTATTCTTCTTTTGCTATCACTGACAGATAGATATTGTTGTTAAGCAAGAAAACAAATTCTATAACAGGAATGGAAAACAAAAAAAAACAAGAGGCCCATGTCCTCTGCATAACCCCTACCATTATACTGCCTTTGCCACATTGCATTACATTAATAATTAATTTGGAAAAAGATATCAACAGGCAAAAAAAAAAAAGGGAGACCAATCTGCCACAAATGCTAAATTCCAGTGAAGGTTTTGAAAGTTGGAATTATGACTAACACTAAAAGTAAAGTAAAATAATCACCAACTGTTAGTCTAGAATTTTATTATATGTTGAATCCAAGACCATATTCACTTGCACTTGTGACTTTAGCAGAAAAATAAATTCACTACAAACCTCTTGATTGCAGCCATATTCATTTGTATCCATGATCTCTCCACGGTAGAGTTGTATCTATAAGAAAAAAAAAAAAACTCATGTTTGAGTCTAAGAGATCAGCCATTTTGTTGGGGTTTTAGTTATATTTTGAAAAGAAACAACCATTATATCATTAATGAACTCAACTTGTAGTTGTAGATAAATTGTAAAAAAAATATTGATAAGCTACAACCCTTGACAAAATGAATACAGCAATATCAACAGAATTAACCATCAACTATGAAACCCCCTAATGACACACTTCATCTAGGTCTCAGATTCCATGATTCAAAAGAAGCAGAAGAAAAGTAGATCTGGTCACTCAAGCAGTACTTCTCATTTCTGGTGCTCTATCAATTAACAAAAATTGTCTAGAGCATCTTACATTCTTCCATTTAAATCTTAAAATTGTAATTAATGTAAGTAAAATCTCATACTCTAAACAGTATAAAAATCCCCCAAAAAAAATTTTAAAAAGAGAAATTCAAATGAAAATTGAATTTTTGTTTGTGGTTGTGCCTCTCCTAGCAAACTTGAATAAAGGCAGATTGTCCCAACAAAGAAATCATATATTTTAAAAAAAAAATCATAAAAAAGGCAAGAAACAGAAAAGGGAAGAAAAATCAATGAAATTAATAAAAGAAGAATGAAATGGAACAAAAGAACAAAAACATAAGCTCACCAGAAACCAAAGTAGAAGAGATGAGAAACTAATAAAAGAAAACATAAGCTCAAAAATTTTCTTCCATTGATTTTTTCTGCCGATGGTCACATTTGTCACAGCAAAGCTCCCAAGGAAAAATCTATTTGTCATCTACCAAACCATATATATGCAAGAATACAAAGAAAAAGAATGTCAATTCCTATGGTTCAAAGATTCATTATTTATTAAATATTTTAAGTTAGACAGATCTTGTTTTACCATCTTATGTGAGACCATTAGAGAAGGAGATCAAAAGGCTTGTTACAGAAAGAACAGAGAACACCTAAATCAAAACCCCCATTTGAAACCATCCTTGCAGATTTAGCTTCTAGATTCCCCCTATTGCGCTCAGTCACCCAGCATCAGAAAGAAAGAAGAACTCTAAACACACACAGCTCATCCTCAATATCTTATCAGAAACTGAAAAAGCTGTCATAAATTCATGCACAAACAGAAATTGATAATTGCTTTTGTGGAAGTCTACAAAAATTCAAATTGCCATCTTGGTGCTATCTGATCTTTTATGTGAGGACTTTGAATCAAATTGAAGAACAATAAACTACCCAAGTCCAATTTAAGAATGATTAAGGAAAAGGTTTGAATGAACCACAATTAACAATAAAACAAAAAACAATATATAGAATGTAAGTCACCAACCCAAAAAAACTTAACTCCTTAAGAAGCAATGAAGCAAAGTAGAAATCCCCACTTCAAAAGGGATCATTTCTTACATTAAACCTTTTTAATTGTAACGCAAAATTTTACCATTGGAAATATACAGGTGTTTCCCTAGATATGCTAAGGGTATACATAGAAGATAAGAGACAAATTCAGAAAGAGTACAAATATTTACACTAACCATAAAGACAGTGCCAGATCGAAACAGCCAAACAGGCAATAGCAACTTTGGGTTTGAGCTTCGTTTCTTCCAATCCAAACACTAAAATGAAAACAAAATAGTTAGTAATTCAAGTTAAAATTTTGGAAAAAAATATTCTAAAATACTTAACATGGCACATATTACCCTCCCCACCTTCTCCTCCGTCACCCCTTTTTCTTGTCAAGGAACTTCCCTATCCAATCAATTTCAGTCTCGGGTCATCCTAGCTGCGTCCACCCACGATTTTTTCTCTGCACTGTCGTGCCCTTCTAATCTTCACTCCGATTCCTCGTTCCTGGACCTTCGATCCTCCACTCGCCACTCCCCGCCCGTGGTGCGCGACAGGGGCGCCTCGCGGCGTGGTTTATATGGCGAGTGGGATTGGATTGCATTTTTCCACCGATGTCGCTAGGTCATTGGAGAAATGGGACTCGCAATTGCAGCCCAATAATATTTGCAATGAATGGCGGCGGGAGAAGATGAAGTAGAAGACCTGCCTCGATCATCGACCTCCTCTTCTGCGCCTCCATCATCTTTTCTTCCATGTGGCCCTCTCAACCGGCCTCCTTTCCCCTCCCCCCATCCCTTTAAGCTTGCCTATTTTTGTCTCCTGAAAGCGCGGCTGGCCATGTAAATCACAGAAGAATGCAAGAACAGTGCCCGTTGAAAATTTGCACTGAATATGGATGAATAGATTAGGAACAGTACCGGTGCTTTGAAAAATGATTACAGTACTGGTTCAAAGGGCAACAAATCTGAGGGGCAAAATCTGGAAATGCAGGTAAGGATGGCAATTTTCTCCGCGACCCGCAGAGCTTCGTGGAGATACCCGCATAGGGATGGAGATTCTCAGAATATTTATAGCCGTGGGGCGGGGATGGAGGTAAATTTTTACCCGTGAAATTTAGTAGGGAATTTTCTCTGAACTTGATAAATCGTGAGGATACATATAAAATAAAAAAAAAAATAAATTTATTTATATATATATTTTTTGTATATTAGTAATTAATTTTTACTTATTTAATTTAATTAGTTAACTCAATACCAACATAACTTAAATTTCATAATCCATTCTTTTATCAATTTTTTCAAACCCAATTCTTAGTTTAACCCAATTTTTTTTGTTAATCTAATAATCCTAAACCTAATTGCCCAGCCCCAATTTACAACCCAATTTACAAGCCCGATTTATATATAACCCTAGCAGGAGGACATTTCACTCAGTCTCTCTTTTGCTTGCCGCTTCTTACAATTGTAAATTACGAATTTGGGAATTGGGATTCCTCATTCCTCTCTAAGTAGGCGTTGGTCTCTCCTCTCCAATCAGTCTTTGAGTCTCCTCTCCTCTAGTCCCCTGCCACACTCTTACTCAAACTCTACCCTCATCTCTACGGATCACTATGAATCAGTGCTTCCCTTCAGCTCTCAACCTCTCACCCACTCACCATGTCGTCTCTTGGTCGGTCTCTCCAACCAGTCTCTGAGTTTCCTCTCCTCTAGTCCTCTGCCACACTCTTGCTCAAACTCTGCCCTCATCTCCACGGACCTTCACAGTGATTCCCTTCAGTTCTCAATCTCGCCGTCACTACAACCCCTGGCCCTGCTACCCTGGAACGCTCGCCGCTTACCTCCAGCTGAGCTCCAAGGCTGCCGCTGGGTCATCTCATCCCGCCTCTCACCGTGGCACCGTGTTGTCAGCCCATCACTGCAAGTCAGCAACGCTCCTCACTCACCACCGCTCACCTCCAGCTTGTTTTAAAAGAGTGATCTTGATCATTTTTGTTTGCTATAGAGGATTATGTAAAATTGCTATTTTCTTTTGGAATTTTGATTAACAAGCAGTGAATGGTGGGGACTCCGAATACCCGCAGGGACCTATTATTCCCCGCGGGATGGGGACGAAGGCAATTTTTGACCTTCCGTCAAAATTTCCTGCGGGTATCCTCGTATCCGTCATTGACGAGGATGGGAATGGGAGGGGGTCCCCGCCCCCGTGGGACCCGTTGTCATCCTTAAATGGAGGGGCGTGGGATTTTTTTTTTTTAAGAAAATAATTACAGAGAATCCTCGTTGTACA